TGTGTGTGTGTGTGTGTGTGTGTGTGTGTGTGTGTGTTTTATAACACTGGGCAGTGCTTAACAGTCAAGCAACAGAAACACAAAGCCCCCTCTCATAAATGTCTCAAAACTTGTTCTTTTTATCTTTTGCTGCTCTTTCCAGGAGTTTCTTATTTGAACCTTTGTCCTAGAGAATAGACATTTCCCCCAGTGTGCGATGCACGTGCAAAGCCCGTGCTGCGCAGGAAAATGTGAAGCACATCTGCATGCTGGTGTGTCACAATAAAGCTGATTAGAAATGCCACGCTATTTAAAAGATTATACAGAGACATTATGCAACACGGTAATGCATTCATTCGAATCCACTTCACTCCAAAACAACAAAAACATCCRAAGAGTTTCTATCAACTTCATTGTTTTCCCTGAATCCATTCACATTAAAGATTGGCTCATTTTTAACTGGTTGTTTCACTGTCGTGAGTTACCTAAAGCAAAACCATGGAATTCTGGGGACCTTTCAAACATGGAGCCAGCTGCCAACGTGATTGATTTTTATATTTTTCTGAACAGCTTTCAACCCCTSTGAGAAACGTAGAACAGAGGCACACACATTAGATGAGTGTCTCCYTTTGAGACGCTTCCATTCCTCCCTCCTCAGAGTTTCTCTCAGCAGCAGGTCAGTGGGTAACAGAGAAGCAGCCTTGTGCGTTCCCACAGTAGCGTCTCTGTTGCAGCTTGGACTCTGACTCACATCAGCTGCTGGTTGCTTCACTGACTGTGATTCTGTGMCACTTAACCTCCCTTCTTCCTGAGAAAACACAAATAAAGCCGGACACCTGCTCCTTTTCAGTATCTGAGATTACAGTGCTCAGGGTAAAACTGATTTTTTTGTGTGTGTGTGCTGTGATTTCGCAGTGGAGAGATGCATGAGCGTGATGCAGTCCGGGACACAGATGGTCAAGCTGAAGGCGGGATCCAAGGGACTGGTGAGACTCTTCTACCTGGATGAGCATCGCTCCTGCATCCGCTGGAAGCCGTCACGCAAGAGCGAGAAAGCAAAGAGTAAGTGAAGGCACGCCACCTTCATGGCGGCGGGTGATCATGTAATCGCCTGTTTGTTTGGAAAATACATCATGAACCAGTGGATGGATTTGAAAGAAAACTCCAGAAAGCAAATGTTGGAGTCAACGCGATTCAAGATGTCTGCCACAGCCCATCAACATCAGTGAACACAAAAATAACTGTAATCAGGTGAAAATGAAGACCCCAAACCCAGACCCAAACCAGTGGTTATTCCGTATGTTGCGGGTGTTTCGGAG